CTGTTTATATAATCACTTTTCACCACATAACTTTAATAAAACTTGAGAGCGGTTTAAAAAGATGTTTACGTGACCGAGTGTACGACGCGTCCGTGAAAAAAAAAAAAAATGGTAAACTTAGTGACCTTTACATATATTCCTTATGTTGTTTTAAATCGAAGTTTCTAATCTTTGATTCTGTGTGAAATATTTCCCATTAAGTATACTGTATAATTAATTACATTGGCGTATGGTTTTGAGGATCTATGTACAAATAGTGTTTGTGTTACTATATGAAAACTGTTCCAAGTGTCCTACCTATGCCTCCTCTATATACTTGAATCTCTTTGGCTCTAATCGATGCATAACAAGAGATTTCTTTGAACTTTAAAAGTTTACGTTGTTGTGCCAGAAGGAACTATCGCCTTGTGCTGAAATAGCTAAACGAAAACACGATAGATCAATCAAAATATTAATGTTATATGAATTCCGATGTACGGTATGCATCAACACAGTTGTCGGTCTGAATTAAAATCGTTCAGAAATAGACGTTCGTTTGTATCGATACAAACAATTTGCTTGCACGATAAATCTTCCCAAGGTTATGGAGTAGAGAGCATAAACAATAACTATACGAGTATAACATGAGAGCTGAGGTCTCAACGATCTTAATGCAACATTTCTTGTTCAGGAAGCAAATATTTTTTTGTATATCATATTTGTTAATGATTTACATTTCAAGAAAAGACATTGCACGAATAGAATGAGAAATTCATTATTAAAAAGAAATCAATCAAATTTTAACAAATAAATTGCAACTTCATCTATATTTAACTCAGGTGATGTCGGTTAAAATATGCTCATAATACTGGTGGCTTGTCGTGATTGTTTAACTTGTTACCGACAGCGCGGCAGCCAAAAATACAAAAACACTTATTATAAAACAAACATATCTTTATTTAAAACTTATTTACACAAAAAAAATATACAAAAACTTAAACTCCAAACTATCTCAATCACATCTTGACTTCTTCTTTATATATATATTCATTTATATACGATTATTGCCTTGGTGGCCAGTATGCAACCTCTTTGGCTGTATACATACTGCTTGTCAGCCAATGAGGTTGTATTTTGCACTCAACAGTGATTCCGTCCGCGCGAAATTTTAAAAAATAAATTGAATCAGTATTCTGTGTTCTTCCAGGCATGTTCTAAATCAGCGATTTCAGCGAGATTCGTTTATCAGTTAGTGTGAATATTAACAAACATTCATCCATCCGTCAATCTAATCTTTAACTTTTACATTTATAATATAATAGTACTGAAATTTCTGAAAGTCGGTCGCTACATTGAGTAAACGAATAATGTTTAACAAATCGTTATATTTTCCTTCTAAGAGGTTAGACGTAATAGTAAATATAATTCTACGTATTGAATAACATAAGCACCAATTAAGTTCGAAAAGCACGGAAAAACTTTTTACAGCATGATGGAATCGTTTCGGAACTCAAGACATTTGGGGCCAATAATAACCGAAATACCTCGGAATGGGGGCGTAAAATATGCAGGGGGTTTATGAGATGGGGCTAGAGGGTCGGGGGTGATGACGTCACGGCTTCGATCCGCACTTGTCTGCCGAAACACGAGCCACCAGTCTCACTCAAACTTCACAATCAATCGTTCTCTAAGAACGAGAGTGGATGGAATGAGCCAGCACTGGCTTCCTTATATTAAATTCAATTTGTATAAAGTCATTTATGTAAACAGTTTTTGCATTAGAAATTTAAAGCACAAATCATGGTTTATGTGTAAATGTAATCTATAACAAATTTACTGGCGGGTTTTTTTAATGTTTTTTTAAAAAGGACGTCTGGTTTATTTTTTTTTAATACGAAATGGACACAAGTATTTTAATAGTCAATTTTTATTAACTAATTGCCGGCTAAGGTGAGCTTTAAAAGCATTCGTTTCATTTAGAGCTTTATTTAGTTGATTGGTTTTATTTTTTATTAGTATTTTTGTAATTGCTAATAGTACATTTTACGCATCATTTAATTGTTTTTATATACTTTATATGTTACATAACCATTAACTATATTTTTGATTGTTGATATTTACCCTTGTTTTATAAATAGATTGTTACGACTGATAATAAAAATAATCTCTTTCTTTCAATTTACATTTTACTGCTGTTTGAAGTTAAGTCGTGATTATCTATATAAATAATATTTGCATGTGTATTAATAATGATTGTTATTTAATATTTATACTTTCTTTATATTTACGTTAACACTCGCACTGCTGTCCCGTGCATCAGTGGTTATGCGCATTTGTGTTTACATGGAACAGCATGTTCTCTGACTTGTACGTCCGTGTTGCTTGCATGCAGTGGGCACGCCACGCAGACATCGACAAATGACACACTACAAACCTTTGGTAAGAATTTTGTTTTGTTATGCTACACACTGCTTGTTTCTTTGTAACACATACTGCACTTTTAAATGACTCCATTATAGACCGATAAAGATCTTATGGCACTATTTTCAGATTGACGGGGGCGCTAGCAATAGCAACTGCCATATGATTCTTGTAGGTCTATAACACAAAATTGACCGCTCACTTGAATTGATATATTTTTTCCTTTTTACTTATCTTTTTTTTCTAAAATGAGCATGCTAATGGTATGATGCAAAAAATACACGTTCAAATTTTCAATTTAATCATGACGAAATGCTTTTACGAAGACAACCAGCGCAGCCTAATGACGTCATTACGAACACGCGCCAATTTTTCTGAATGCGACCAATGACGCATAACAACGGTTAACTATGTGCCAAATTTACTAAAATCGCGCAGAATGTTGTGTTTATAACAAGAAATCTCAATGTAAATAATATCAAGGATTATTTATGTAATGGAATCTGACCTACAAAACTATAATTTAACGTAAATTAATTAAAAGAAAAACGTAAACGTATAATTTTGGCAAATAAGAGCTAGGTTCGTATATCACTTTTCATGTACTAATTTGGTCCAACAGGGCGTTGCCGAGGGGGTGCATGCTTTCCTTAAAAAACCTAAAGACCATATATTAAAGATAGCGGGCACCCTCCCCAGACTAAGCCTAGATCATCGACCCACGTCTGTGTAGACAAATTACTTCTCACTAATTATTCCGTGTAAAATAAGCTACTCATCTTTACTACAACCCTGAAACAGCCATCGTTACAACATAAAGTACTCTTGTGGAGATTATGTCTAATGAACAATTAAATACATCAACTGCATTGTATTGTCGCAGAGATGCGCGCGCAGTATCGACAGCTGCCAAATCCGCACTCCATTGCTGAACCTACCATGTCATTAAGTGTAAACAACGACCACGTTGTTCATTTTACGTCCTAAAGTTAGGTTCAACAATATTTGGATCAGTAAACTTAGATACACAGTTTGATAGAAGGTAATGCGATGAAAAGTGGACAGGGGTCGTAAACCATACATGTTATTGCCCTGAACAATTTTATGAGAAATCTATAATTTGTGAAGTTTTTATATCTAATTACTCAGTTGTCTTAATACTTTTCCAGCTAGGCTCTCTTCAGTGTTCTCATCTGTTTTGTGTTTATACAGTTCGTTTCAAATAAGAATGTAATAATTTAAAAAATGTAGAATCAATCTGACAATTATCTCTAATACGAATCATTTGAAAATAATAAGATATAAGATAATAAACATCCGATAAAATAATACGTGATTTTTTTTTATTTAAATCTACGCTTAAAACAATTTTTGACTATTTGATGTGATCATGGATTTCACCAAGGTCAACCTTCATCTAAAGAATTGAAAAATACATGTGAAAACTAAAAAAAAAGACTACAATTGTAGCTGCCCATAGACCTACCTAAATCAGCTGACGACATCTATGGATGTATTCGAGATACACTTTCTTATCTGAAGCGTGCAGTACTGCCGCCTTCCCCGTGCTAGTTTGAATTGTTGGCTGTATACGCTGCAGGGCTCGGCGGATTCCAACTACTCGCAGCCGTCGTCGGAGCTGTCGCTGGACGAGGATAAGGAGGCGCTGCGCCGTGAGAAGGAAGCGCAGGCCCTCTCACAGCTCGACAAGGCAAGGGTGAGCAAGAGTATCATCATTAAGGTTGTAGCGTACAACTCTGTACCTAATAGCACCACAAAACTTGTGTACAATGAACGCTTTCGAGGCGGTGTTTAGTGGACCCAAAGTGGTTGGTGTGCTATAACCTTTACCATCAGCATGTGTATATCTTCATTCGTCTACCTTCAAAATAGTACAGTTCTGGACAAAATATTAAATTGAGAAGCAATCATTATTAAACAAATCACATTATTAAAAGTACATTGCATTCTCTCTGTTATTCAGGACTGTACATTCGTAAACCAATCAAATAATATTAATGTAGATAGCATAAAATTTATATGACTAAACTATCGCACAACGTTTAGTCGCGCTTTAAGTTGTGTAACTATACAGTTGAATTGGCTGCGAAACAATCCACAATCGACAATCGCACAACAAACTGCGATAGTTTAGTCAAAGGTGTGCGACCGCTCTCAGTCAAATACGACCGGACGTCATTACTCATGTAGTGTGGCTTGGTATCGTAAACTGTTTAGGCATTTGGTTAATGGAATTTAAACTAGTCTTGAACAAGATAACACGAAAATAGATTATTAGATTTACCTAGGCCGCAATATGTTGTATCGAATTTTTATCGTCTTCATAGAATTTAAAATACATTTGATTGTTACCTAAAATACTAGTTATAACATTTAAAGTATGCTTAACATTGTTTTTCGAGAGAGTTCAGTACTCAAACATTTGTCTGTCAAATAAGATTTCAGACACTTATATTCTGTATTTTTGTAATGGTGTATAATGGTGTCTTTATATGATTGCAGTCCAAGCCAGTGGCGTTCGCGGTGCGCACGAACGTGGCGTACGATGGCTCGCTGGACGACGACTCGCCCGTGCACGGCAGCGCCATCTCCTTCGAAGTGCGAGATTTCCTGCACATCAAGGTGACATGCAGCATACATCATAATAGTCACAAGTATTATTAAGGGATAAGCGTCTATGTTTTTTTATAAAATAGTTGATAGAAGTAGCATTTTAAAGGTTATCTATACTAAGAGTATAAAGAGGAGTAATTTGTATTTTTTGTATGTATTGAAATAACTCAAAAATTACTGGATTGATTTCAAAATTTCTTTCCCCATTAAAGTATGTTATAAGTGAGTAACATAAACTATATTTTTTTATCATTTATTAATTTCCTGCGAGCGAAGTCGCGAGCTACAGCTAGTAGTTAATAATCTGATAATGAAATATCAACGTCTTTCAGGAGAAATACGACAACAACTGGTGGATCGGTCGACTGGTGAAAGAGGACGCTGACATCGGGTTCATTCCGTCGCCGGTGAAGTTGGAGTCGGTGCGGTCGGGGCCCGGCCGCGCGCGCTACCGCCCGCCCTCCGCCGCACCAGCGCTCCCCAGCCGAGGTAGCACTCCCCCCACGCCCGGTACGTCACGCGCCAGCATTTGGGGACCATGTGGAAAGTTCGAGGGGCATTCTCGAGACCATACGGCATGGAGCGCCGCGAATACGAGCATATTGTTGTGAAAATTTTATGAATTTTACGTACTTTTCTATCGGAACTTTGAGCACTCAAGTGATTAGATTCCTCATCTTCTAAATCCAATAATAATTCAATCCCACATTGGATTTCTCGATTATGAACTCGTGTAACTCGCTGTGTTTTCAAATGCATACAGTAAATACACTACAAATCAGATCTACAATCCCAATGAAACCTTTGTTTAACAACCTTCAGAGATCGTAGGTTATCGCCTGTTATGCGACGCACTCACCTGTGCTTCTACGAGATAATTGGCTTACATTACATAGAATATTTGCAATGTTTGCATCATATAAGTACTTAAAATATTTGAAATCGATAACCTGAATAGTTCGTATTCTAAATAGATCACGAAATTACATTGAGAAACGACGGGAATTACTATAAATGGCAGGTGAATTTTAAGACCAACGTAGGATAAATAGTGTCAATGCAATTTAACTCGGTCGCAGCTAGTACTGCCGCGTTGATATGCACAAAACACTCATATTTTTTAAATATTCATGAAAACTCGTTTCGCGGCGCTCTTTGTTTCATTTTGACTGCATTACGTGAAAATTAAATCTATACTGAAAGTATAATGTCTTCAATGACTTTGTTTATTCTCTAGTGTTCTAAAATATCTATCGAAAGGTTTTTACGTCTTCAAGTTCAGTATTTCAGTTTTCAATTAAAGCAGTCAAGGTCTAATGTTGACCTTACATCAGATGAAATAAATAGATACATTATGGGTTGTTTATTTATCTTGAAATAAAATGATTCAAAACAATTTTATCTGATGTAATTGTACAATGCAGTTTGTAAATATAACATTTGTCCGTGTTTGATTTTGTTATCGAAATAATAAAATTGCTTATTTGTGAAAATTAAAATCACGAAGTGCTATGTTACTTGACTCTTAATTGGCTTTTAGATTACGTAATAAGAATGTCTATCGTTTTCAAAATTAATCCCTTAACTTACTAGAAAAAACTTAAATGCAAGCAATGTAAGCATCACTGTATTTTATATGTACTAAATTAGGCTTCCGTTTGCTTTAACTGAACAGATTTTGAATTCAGGAAACTGTTCGATTGTGAAAAGATCTCTGTCCGGGAAAAGTTTTTGATTTTTTAAAATTATAATTTTTTTCTTTCTTCTGATCGCTCTGCAATGATACTGTCCATTCTAATATATCTAATAACGTCATTCATATCTATGGTAAACTTAACTTGTTCCAAATATATTGACCAGATCTTTACTCGTTAACGAACCAATAACTGCTTTGTACCCGCCCATACCTCACGTTCATCATTCGGTGGAAGTTGCCAGTTTCCTGGTTATGAGATGACTTGCACTCATTCTTGACATATTTTCAGATGTGCCAACCTTCGACCGAGGTAAGATCATCCGCATTCATTATTGACCAGGAAATATTATCAATTTTCACCTCCTACTTTATTTTAAAAGTATTGATAACTTCTAATTCGTAATTTTACAAAATCTCTTCTTCTTAAACTATATTTGAGATTTTGTAAAAGTGCGAATTTAAATTAATTTATACTTCCTATATTCTAGTTCTTTCGCTCCATTGTCCTTTGATCATTAACTCTTCTTAATTTCTAGAAGTTAATGTTTACTAAAGTAAGCATTAATTACTGGTATACCTTACTTACCTCTTGATGTATTTCTTTTATTATATTCATTTTCTTGTCTATAGTTTGGTTAATAAAGGTAAATGATGGAATTTAAACATGTTGATAAACTACTATTTCTTATATTATTAAGAATATTATCTCTACATCTATATTTAAATCCTATCATTTCATAAACAAGGCGATATTTGTAGTTATGATTTGATATCTATGATATTGCTTCAAGCTGTCGATGTTGTGAAGAGATTGCTGTTAAATATTCTTACTATAAATATGTATGGTCCAAATCTAATTAAATATGCAAATAACAAAATGTAAGAAAACAGTTAAATGCTCGGTATTTTAAACTATTGTAATCGATGTTTGGTGGAATAGAAGCATGCCTTTATGTCCCATAATGTAATGAAATGAAATATCAGCCTGCAGTCTATGATATGTCCGCTTGATGTTTGCTTGTTATAAAGTGAATGATACACAGTCGAATATGCAGCCAAATATCTCAGTGTCACCAGATTTGCTGTCTCTATTATACCGCTGCAATTTTTACGTATTTTCGTTATATTGCTGAGATGCTTCTGTTTCTGGTGTGCGTTCCATGGTGAGCTTTGCACGTGCAGGTGAGGATTCGGACTCAGGGAAGGGTCGGGGCGCGGGGGCGCTGCCCGCTGGCAAGGAGAAGAGGAAGCCGTTCTTCAAGAAGCAGGAGAACGCGAGTCCGTACGACGTGGTGCCGTCCATGCGTCCCGTGGTGCTGGTGGGGCCCTCGCTCAAGGGCTACGAGGTCACGGACATGATGCAGAAGGCCCTCTTTGATTTCCTCAAAAGGCGGTTCGAGGGCAGGTAATTTTAAATTTGATCTTCATGATCCTTCCGTCTTATTTACATTTTTATCGTTTAAAAATTGTGTTTCTCCTTAATTTACAAATCAAGTTGTAATTATGTTTTAATAAAAGGACAAGTGGACTTGGACAACTAAACTTACAAAAGGAGCAATAACAATGTTATTTTCTAATCCTCATCTCATTTTCAGCACCTTGTATTTCAGCTACACCACTCTTTCTTACAGCGACGTTAACATAATATTATGACAGGACTATCGAGGTATGAAAACTGCGATGAAAACATTTTTGAAAGTGCCCGTCGTGTTAAATAAAAATGAACTGCAAATATATTTGTATCGTGTACAGTCAAGATCATAACACCTTCATGAGATATTACAAAAGAGCCACAAACACACAGCGATCAAAATGTACAAAAAAGAAATCGCCATCACTGCACACAATCACATCCATCGCAAGCAACGGACGAGGAATATAAATAACGAATTACAATTCCAGGATAATAATAACTCGTGTGATGGCGGACATATCACTAGCGAAGCGCTCGCTGCTCAACAACCCGTCGAAGCGGGCGATAATGGAGCGCTCCAACTCGCGCTCCACTTGCCTGGCCGAGGTGCAGGTAATGCCCGAGGTAACGCGCCGTCTCGTTGCAGGATCATCATCACGCGGGTGACGGCGGACATATCGCTGGCCAAGCGCTCGCTGTTCACGCCATCCAAAAAGCCGATGGAGCGCGGCAATTCGCGAAATAACTGCCTTGCTGAGGTGCAGGTGCGGATCTGGTGCATTGGTTGTCGTGTGCCGCTACCCGCTAGAGCTTTTAGCCCCGGTTGTGACCTGCCCGGTCATGCCGGACCAAACCCTGTAGACAAACCGTGTATGCTAGACGTTAATGATGATTTAGTTTATACACTAATAATAAATCTTTAATAATGAGTTAAAGTTCGCTATAAAAATAACAAGTGGCTTAAATGCAGATTCTATGCCGAATGTTGTCGTGTGTTGCTAACGAATAGTGTAAAAAGTTGTGAGTTTAATATATCCGAATGTAGATGAAACAATCCATTAGTAAATGTACAGATATATTTACTATCAAAACTACAAAACGGTAATTGAAAATGCTAGCATGATACTTAAAAATTGCACGATTAGAGTTTTATCATTATATTATTAAGAAACTAATTAACGATAATTGTAATAAAATTATATTATTAAGAAACTAATTAACGATAATTGTAATAAAATTAATCAAGCAAACGTTTCCCAGATTATTCCAATAAATAAAACTTTTATGAGCATATGAAACTAAGTGACATTTGCATGAATTTGTGAATGAATTACTAACTTACCTATTCAATAACGAAGAGTATTGTTAATGTATTCTTAATGTGTTGGCAGGCTGAGATCGAGAGGATATTCGAGCTAGCGCGCACGCTGCAGCTAGTGGTGCTGGACTGCGACACTATCAACCACCCCTCGCAGCTCGCCAAGACATCGCTCGCGCCCACCATCGTCTACCTCAAGATATCTAGTCCAAAGGTAAGATATGTTGCGAAGGGAAAATATAGAAAAATAGATCCTTGTCATTTTTAATTTGAGACATGTTAGTATCCTTATGATTTCAGAAGCAATTATTAATTTTATCCTTAAATTTGCAGGTGTTGCAGCGGCTGATCAAGTCGCGAGGCAAGGGGCAGAGCAAGAACCTTTCGGTGCAGATGGTGGCTGCGGAGAAACTGGCGCAGTGCCCCACGGAGATGTTCGACGTGGTACTCGACGAGAACCAGCTCGAGGACGCCTGCGAGCATATCGCCGAATACCTTGAGGTCAGTTTTCAGTATGACCAAACAGAAATGTCCGATTCCATCAATGACTCTATCTTCCACTACACTCTGACCTTGTTACGTCGTTTTGAAACTTGGCAGACCGTGCCTTCTTATATTCTTCTATTCGAATTCTGATTAAATTCTAAATGATTTTATAATGTGAGTGATTTGTTTTCCAGGCGTACTGGAGAGCAACACACCCACCTCAAGTGGCGCCGCAGACGCGGGCGCCCGCGCACCACGCGCCGCAACACGCGCCACACCACGCTCCGCACCACGCGCAGCCTGGTGAGTTTCACACACACCATGTAGCACTGTCTTTAAGGGTAACACCCAAAAAGTACGTTCTGATAGTTCCCATAGACAACTTCTAAGATCTTCTCAATCAAATTGGATTTTACATTAATTTAATTTACAATTATTGAATTTTAAATTAATTTCGCTTATTTTCTTATTGTTTTCTACTTGTAGAATCCTTAATTATAATCACATCTTACGAAATAAATTAAATTTATTTCTTTATAGTATTTAATTTCATCATCAGCCATCTTTATCGCCTGTATTTATCATTTTATGTATTTGTACGATGTCCATATTTCGGGGCGTGTCTCATTGTAAACTGTCCATGTAACCGTGTTTCCCTCTTCTGATCCCCCCGCACATTCCGGAGGACACCGGGAGAGGTCTGACTCGTATAACTACGAGAGAGAAAGAGGTAAATTTAAGTGTAGTAACTGCAGTTATTTTTCTAATAAAGTAGTTTGTTTTTTTGTAGGAAGTATGTATTGGCAGCTATTGTTCTATCAGTAAGTTTTAGGTTTATTGTTATGAATTTAAATCGGAATTTTAGTCATCAGTTAACAGCCGTACGTGATACTTTAAGGTTACTTGTAGATTCTTGTATTTGCTTCATACTGTACTTCCAATGTTTCTCTTCTTATCACATTTCTTAAATAATGGACGTTATAGCTTTAGTACTTTGTATCCATAGATGTAGTCAGCCTTTTCAGAATATCTTCTAGTTCATAGATCATCGGTTTATAAGCATTGTAGTGCGAGAACGCAGTTCATTATTATTTTTATAATGGAAGAAATAATTAATTTCAAGTTCAGTCCTAGCAAGGTTCACAAATATCCGTACTGCATTGCTAATGCCAATACGCCTTTGACCCTATAGTTCAGTGTCAGTATCGATGTTAGAATAACAAGTAGCGCCCCTGCCGCTGACGCCTCCTGTTCATTTCAGTACAAGCCTCAGGACAAGCACACTAACCGCCGCGCGAAGACCATATATTCCAGTGTACCATTACATAGCAGTCACCGGCGCCGCCCGCTCAGGTTGCACATACTTTCTACAGGCTGCGCCCGCTAACTGCTTCTAATCGAAAGCGTGTGCTTGTACTAACCGCATCTCAATGACATAACGGTATTAATATGGTAATCAGGGTTGCGACTGCAAACATAAACGAGGAAAAACTGCTAACGACCATTATGTTTGTAAAATCCCGAATCGAAAATTCTGCTTCTACTAACAATTCAGCACTAACATGCATCATCAGTATTTTTTCTAATTATTCTACGACTTATGACTAACTTTTGGTGATACTAATCAGAATACTCGTCTCTATCACCTTCTCATCTAAATCTTCGTCTATCACTTGTCTTCTGAGGCAGTCGGCCCCCGCGCCGGCTGCTTCACCGTGCCTTCTCCGCAGCGGCGCCCGCCCCGCCGCCTGCCGCGCAGCTCGTGCTCCCGTGCCCCGGTAAAGTGCGCAGCGGCGACCTCACGCCGACTCTCGCCCCCGAATCGTAGCGCAGTAAGTCCGGGTGGCCGAGTGACGCGTGTGCCCCGCCGCCCCCCGCCCTCGCCCCCGCGCCCGCCCTCGCCCCGTGTGATGTTTGCCGTGCATACCCTGCTCCGTTTTATACCTTTCTTTCGATTCAGTTGTCTTCTGTTTTAATATACAGGTATAATGAGATATTACTTCCTATTGATGATATTACCACTTTCAACTGTTTGAAGTAAAAAATACCTTCTATAAAACTGCCGACAACTCGATCGATTTTAATATGGCGAGGAAACAAAAATCGAATGCCTCGCGTTAACTTTCAGGAGGCAGGTCGCGTGCGGCGCGGCCCGAGCGGTTGGAGGAGGAGTACTACCCGCGGGAGCAGTACCAGCGCTATCCGCGTGACCATTACCCGCGCGACTACCACGAGGGCTACGCGCACGATTACCCGCCGGCGGAGGCGTACGAGCGCGAGGCGTACGGGCACGACTACACGCGCGAGGCGTACGCGCGTGAGGAGTACGGGCGCGAGTACGCGCGCGAGGGGTACGCGCGGGAGGAGCGCGCGCCGCGCAGCCGCGACCGCGAACCCGAGGACTACGGGCCGTCGCGCCGCGCGCTCAACGCCGTCTAGCGCCGTCGAGCGCCGCCGAGCGTCGCCGCTTTGGTGTTTCTTATGTATCCCCGCGGTCCCGCGAGCGCTTGTGTGAACGCATCTGCTACTGTGACAATGGCGCCCGAATGAACGGCTTCCATCTAATGGACATGAATGTTTTTTCTATCAAGCGACACATCGACATCTATTTTCTCAAAATATGAAATAATTTAAGGCTTATGATACTTTGTTAAATTAGATTTTGCTCGTATCAGGAAGTGCGAAGAAGTTATGGTCCGATATGAGCGTGGTCTAATTTAAATAAAATCGTTTTACCACAGCTTTAATAGCACTAAACATTGTTTTAGTCGTTTGTAACTCGTTAATTCTTACAGTTATTGCCCACTACGAGTAGATTAGCAAGAAATAATTTTCTGGAGGTTATTTTGTACGTTCGAATCGATTAAATAGGACAGTTGTACTTTTGCCCTCTCTTTGAACACTACGAGCTTTTCTCTTTTGTGTATAGCCAAAGTAAAGTATATATTTGAATATAAATGTTTGTATTTTGATAATGTCAGGCGCAGCTGCATTTACACAATCGAGACCTGATCATACCGAGTGCGAGTGGCTATTAGTTTTTTCTGTCGACATCAACATCGGTAAAAAAAAATCACTTCTATGCTATTCTAACAAACGCTGTACGTAGTTTCTATTCCTCAATACTCGTTAGAAACGTCTTTGGGTAAAAATGTATTTTGTCGCTGTTAATGTTAATGATTGCAATTGGTAAATTTGTTTCAAGAATAATGTTAAATTCTTTAGTGTGTTGGACTGTTTTAAAGTTTTTATTGTTTCCCTAATTTCCAATTAAAATGGATCTTCCTTAATTTTAGGTGTTAGTAATCTAAATCTGTTTCATTTTTGTGTTCTTTATTAGTCGTAGATTATTTGTTATTTAGAGATTGATTGCGAGACTTTATTTGGGATTGTGGTGCTGGGTATGATCAGGAGTGGGCGGTGGGCAGTGGGCAGTGGGCAGTGGGCCGTCTCGTATCGCTGAGCTTTGCCACGCTTCCGTTCGCGGCCTCGCCGACGACCGCTTGTACGGTATTTGAGACTTGTACCTGGCCTCTTTTCACGACAAGGAAAATTTTACTATATTTCATAAGTTTGTTTGAGGACTTTGTCAATTTTAAAATCAAATTGATTTGCTTAGTTTTCTTACTGTAAGATTATGAAAAATGGTCTCATTTAAAGTGTTTTATTTCTTGGTTTTTATATAATAGACATTTTAATGTTGTATGGTTAGCCCTGTCGTGAAAATTGTGTATGAAGTAATACGACTTTTAACCAGAGTGCAGGTTAGTGAAAACCTTCGCTCTGTTAAAGTTAGGTATTTGATCTCTAGGCTAAGTGTGTGCGATAATTTGTATAGTCTCTCTTTTAAAACAAAATAAAAAACTACATCACATTTATTTCTTAGTTTTACGTTACTTGTGCAAGTATTTTCTGTTCTTGTCTTTTTATTCTGTTTTGAGAAAGAGAGGAATATACTGTGCAGATACGTGGGGCTTATTGCATTCGTGTATGTGGAATTGAGTGGGTAACGGACGCATGTTGATATTCGATATCGGATTTCTAGTTAAGGTAATGTACGTACTAAAAGCTGAAAGCATCGGTGGAGGCAATTTGTTGTTTAAACTATCCTCATTCGTTTCATTTAATTTTTGAATATCGCTAGAGAATTTTTAAGGCCAAAAGGCAAATCGAGTAGAAATTTGATTAAATATTTATTGTGAATTTAACGAGACCTGCGACCAAAATCATATGCATATTTAGATTTCACTTATTTTATCAACAATGTTTTTATCCACTTTGATATACTTAAATATGTTAATGTGCCTCCGCCGCGTGCGCGAGCCCCGGTCGTGTCAGACGGCCGGAGCTGGGGTCGAATGTATAAATTTTACATAAATGATAATTTTAGAGCCGTTAGATATTATCCGTTTCCCATTTTTTGGACATACATACTCTTGTAATTATATTGCATCGTCTGTACTTCATTGTTGCAATCATTTGTAAATAAAATACTTTATATCGGTATTTGTTCTGTTTTATTTGCTTATTTCCATGGAATTTTGAGCAATTAGTAAATTAACACGCTTACTGCGTATCTGCTGATATCGGTTTGACGCGGTACTTACTATGTTTATCTTGCAAGTGCGAAACGATGACCTCAAGTATGCACATTACATAAAATGTATACATTATGTTTCCACAAAGTTATAGCAATTTAATCTATCCTAGTGCTGGTGGGTCTAGAAAGACCTGCCACGCACTGGCGGACATATCATTAAGGGCGCATATTAGCCTGCCGCCGCACCAGATGAAGAATTATGATTTTACTTGCCGCAGTAAACGTGTTAAGAGATTTTTGTTAATTTCCATAGATCGATAATTAAACGCAGGTCTAGATAGAAAGGGTAATAAAACAAGTATTTGATACAAGAGAAGATATCCCGTTTATTAGTTTTCATTAAAAGTAAATTCGATGATCTTTAACATATCAAGCGAATAAAGTTTCGTAAACGATGCAATGCAAATCCCAGGTGTGCATTTAGCGAAGAACAATCCAATGGTTTGCAGTACATCGTCAACACAAACCAAGTGGACATTGTCTGCTGCCATTTTTAAATAAATTAAACATCACAAATACATAACAGATAAATAAATTCAATTTTAAACGTTCGCTTGCCTCTTTGGTGTCTACTAGCTAACAATATGTACTTATGTACTAATATTTACATATTTTCGTCATACGATAATTTATCTAAGAATGAACTATGTCATATTTATGCTAAAGCAATACTGCATACAACATGATCTAGTTACATTAGAAATTCATCTAAATTAACGCTCATTTCAGCGGATTACTAACTTACAATTAACAGAAGTCGTAAGTTTGAAAAAAGAAATCAGTTAAAGTCTCAATATAAAAAGGTCTAGACACTGTTATTTTCAGATCATTATTTTATATTCTATTAGATTTTTGTTTCTGGTTAGATCTTAGATTTATATTATTTACAATCTGTAAAACAAATTGAATAATATAAAATTCCTGTATTTATTCGATTCTGGATGGGAAAATTACTGTCATCTTGTGTTTGATGCAAATTATTATATGATATTATAAGCTCTAAATATATTAACATTCTTTTATCACCCGGTACGGTCTTGTCTGATGTTTTCTACGTTCTTGACTTTACATTATCCATCTTACATTCAGATTAGGCCGTCTACAATATCTCTTTGGTTTCGCATCTCTGTGAACAATCCTGCGAGGTACCAACGAGTACCACTATGTACACTTTTTACAAAAACGAACCTTATTTACACTTCACATGAGTCTTTTCTTCCGAAACCGTGCTCGCGACTTACGTCCTTCCATCGCAGACTTGATCCTCACCAGGCGCATCGCTAGTCATATGTACAAGTAATCGTTTTTCGTTTCTCTACAGTAACTAATGCTGGGGAACTTGTATACTGGGCTGTATCTCTTGTTGTCATCGTCAGATTCGAGAGATAGTGCTGATAGTGCTCTGGAGGGTTCCTCTTCTTCTTGAGGCGATTCTACCGGAGGAGGGATAGTCCGCGGAGGTAGGGGAGGAGCTCGTGGGTTCCGTCGCACCCGGAAGTGACAATCGCTGTCCGTGGGCCATGCACGCTGCACTAGCAACGGTAGATCGTCCGGATGCAGTTTCCTCTCATACTCTTGAGACGGGCATACCTGAAATTAAACAATTTGTCTACATTTTACAACAGTTCATTTTTGCCTAAATCTTAAACCATTAACTTTTACTGTTTGACGTTTTATTTTATCTTTTTGTATCACTGGCAATTACTAACCTCGTAGAGTGAGAACCTCTCGACGCCCTCCGTGGAGTCGTAGCAGTGCAGCAGTATGGCCAGCAACTCGTCAGCTGTGGTGCGCTCGCTAGTAAGCAGGCATTTATACTGCGAGGACGACATCAACGCCGAGTCGTAGATCTTCACCAGACCGCCAGGACGCATCTGCAGAGAGAACCTGGAGACAAATAAAGGAGATGTTACAAATAGAGCAAGAAACTAAAAATGTTTCTGTTATTTCTATTATCAAGTAGGTTGACGACCGATAAGTAGTCACACCTGTCACCAGCTTATAATCAATCACCAGCGAATATTATGCAAAGATATTGAGTATCATTATGCAAACTGAAGTCTACACAACATCGATTGATTGAGGAAGTATAAGGTGTCATCCGCTTTAATGTTACTAGTTGGAGTGCAGAATGCGCGTGCGTTGAGCAATCTTGACGTAAACAGGTGATATTTGATCACACGCCGATGCACTACCGCATGTATTACGTAAACGGATATTCCCCGAATACTGGATACGTAGTTAATGTTACCATAAACAAATACAGGTTATGGTATTTGTGTCCAAAAAGAAAAATGTATATCACATGAATTATTTCAAAAATATATATGAAAATAATAAAAAATAATCATCCTCAAGTAACTCAATCACCAGGATATCATAATTTAAACAAATGTGAACCACTCAGAGCTGCTAGAGAACGAGGTAGCTCATTGTGAAGTCAATTTATTAACTTGTTAAGTGCTGAGACTAAACATAGATATATTTTTAAAACGTTTGTTAAGACAATATGAATAAATAACAAAAAGCTCGAACAAAAATAAAATTTTACGTTTATAAAAATCGACAAAAGACTACATCTAGATGAACAAGGATCGCAAGCCGATGATTTATCCTAGTTCTAGTCTTATTTGAAGTAGTACATATCTATTTAACGTTGTTACAGACTCTAGAGTCCGCCTCTCTCCCTCGCACGACATCCATTAGTTGTTACGAAATCTTAGAAAATGGTTAAATTTTTTGTAGTCTCTTGGTAACATTTTCACACTCCGAGAAACGTTATCCACGTGCCAGTTTATCTGCTACTACTAACTGCAGCTCTCATAACAATGTGACGTCTGTCAACGGGCTGGTAATACGAAACGTACGCTCAATAAAAACCCTTCGAAATGCTTTAGTATTTTTTATTGGTGGTCGCGGCGCGTGTTTACACGACGGGAATAGCCCGGCCGGCCGGAAGGGGACGGAAAAGGGACAAGTGATTCTTTTTCGAGACCGACTAGCCGGTGGTCCCGGACTAACGGGTAACGAGTGGAGTATTGTAAATGCTTCAATTATTATCCTATTTTAGTATATCGGACATAACAAAGCTTATTCTTAGTTAATCTATAATCAAAACAAAGTGGAAAGGTTAGTTTGTTGCTACTTACTGCGTACTAGACATGTAAAATTATTAGAAGAACTAAGTTTAAACTAGTTTTAAAAGGCCGTATTTATAGTCCAACTAAAAGAAGAATCTGTAGGACATCGGTTAAGATATTTTTATCGTAACAAAAGAATATCTATTGCAATAGTTAGTTAAACAAGACAATGCAAATGTACACAAGACGCCCCGAGATGTTATATCATGACTGCAAACTTTAATTATAAACATTACAGCACAACGAGGTCGCGACCTTCGTTTTGTTGCTTGTAAACTATTGTTATAATGTTCAGGGGTGCTCAACTCAGCGTAACATCAATAACAAACTTTTGTTTAGCGTCACAGTACGCTTTTTTAAATCTCTTGAAATTGGGAAGTAAAAATTTTGATTTGATACTTTAAGTATATCAATACTTCGTCTGTGTACAACTTACATTTGAAGTTTGTTAGTTCACACATTTTTATATATGCCTAAAGTTTGCAACCTCTGTTCCAGCCATATGCAGATTTAGTGTTAGAAAAATATACACAATCGCAGTAATCGCCCCACAAGTTGGCTTCACAAACAAAGGATTGTTATGGCCTCATTGTATTAGGATATCATTAATAAACTATTGTGTGAATATTAGGACAAAGGAACCACGTCAACAAAGCCGACATATTAAACAAACTTTTTATAATCTGTGCCACATTAAATAACTTATTACGCAACAATACAAATAAAATTAACAATCGACAATCGCACAACAGTTGTGCGATTGTCGATTGTTTCGCAGCCAATTCAACCGTTTATTTGCACAACAAAATCGAGAAGTGTGCGCATATATTAGCTTATAGAAATCAAAGCGAGATTCGGATTGGGATTAGATAAGCGATCACGGTTGAACTGTATTTTTGACCGACTTCCCAAAAGAAGGAGGTACTGAATTCGTTTGTATGTTTCTTATTTTTATGTGTGTTACGGCATGACTCCGCCGCTAGTGGACCGATTTTCATTTAATTAGTTGACTAAGTACTTACTTGGAGTATCCCTTGGGATGACAGGCTTGTAACGCAGCGGGGCGCGCGTCGTCATCAAGGGCGAGCGCGGTGCGCAGGCCGGCGGCTCGCACCCGCACCTCCATGCTGAGATAGAAGAGGCGCGGGTCCCTGTGGCGCATGCGGAACTTGCCCAGCAATGCACCTACCACCTCACGCGCTCGTGTGCCCCATGTCACCGACAGAGTCTTGTACTCGATGTCCGGCCGCAGACAGCGAGCGTACACCTTTATCGTCGTCTGTAAACAATAATTAAATGTTACACTTATGGTATTATGGCTTAACAGATTAACTAAAGAGAATATTTTATCATTTAAAACCTTGTACAGGCGTCACATCGCATATTTTAAATGTAACTTTAATCTAATATGAACGCGACTTTACAAAGCGTGTATGTATTTTTATATGAAATCGATTATGAAGCATTAGCAGTGAATTTCGTGTGATATAGTGCTTCCTGGTGCGACTTCCTCGCCGCTGCCCGCTGTGCGGCAGGATGCGGCCGGCACAAAGCACCGGATAGTCGACATCAATCCAACGACATCGATCGTACATTTTTTTTTAATTTCATTCAAATTATAAGTAACTTTTGATATTATGTTTGTATGTTGAACGACAAGACCATAGACATTTGTTTTATTAGAAAGTGGTAAGACAATTTATCTATACTCGATACCAACATTATGAAGAGAGAAAAAAAGTACTTTTGGATTTTTGTATGTATTGAAATATCTCAAAAACTACTGCGCCGATTTCAAAAATTAATACACCATTAAAAAGCTACGTTATCAGTGATTAACATCGGTTGTATATTTATTATTTTTTAATTTCACGCTGAAGTATTCGCGAGCAAAAGCTAGTAGTATTCATAAAGTTAGAACTGCTATTCTTTTGTTCTTAGTGATTACTCTACTAAAGTGTTAGAGTAAATTTACTAGTGGTGTTAAATTGAGGACAGATCAAATTTATTTAACCCGAAAGTAATCAGTTTGTCCGCAAATGTGTTCGCTTATCAATGTCCTATTTAGAAGGATATCGTTATACTCTTTGATTTGTAGACCTTAGTCGTTTCATATTAAGTAGAACAATATAGTTTAATAAAATAATTCTCCATGTAATTACAACCGAGTGATGCATTAATTAACAAAACGTACAATGTGTTAAATCCAAGAAATAAGTAACAGCGACAAACAGTATTGTTACCAGCGTGAGAATGTTTCGCAACACGAATGAACCCCGCCAACAATAACAATGACAACACATTAGTGTGTCCAGCTTCTAGAAGATTTATTTACAGCTATCGTAAACGACAGATAAAGCCCTAATGCCGTTTTTTTAAAGTTAGAATTAGTGAAATACTTTAAAAAAATTATCTAAGCGACAAACTTTCAAAGCGTAAAAAAAAATACCAGTTTTACAACAATTATTGTATAGTGTGTCATCATTACCTAATCAAATAATCTCCAGTACGTCACATTACGAGCGGACTGCGAAACAATCGACAATCACAAAAACTGTTGTGCAGCCAATTCAACTGTTTAGTTGCACAACTAAAAATCGAGTAGTGACCACACCTCCATATAAGCTCATAGGAATTAAAGCGAGACTAAATAGTTATGCGATAATTTAGTCAGTCTAACTGTAACGTCATGTATATACGGTACTAAAGGCTGGCAAAGTTTGTCCAAGTGTACACTTATATGAGGATTTACGCTTCACTGAATATAAAGGGGTTGTATAGAGTGTATGACGTAGTGGTTACCGCAGACCGGAAACTATCCTGGCAACAGGTTGTAGCAATGTAGTTTACACCAAATTAGGATTTCATTGTAATTACTAAAATATTAAAAAAGGGTTGGTTTAACCACTCTCTTGAATCTGTCACCGGTAAATCGTATCTAGCCATTTTTAAATTTTCCCAGACAACTCGTATAGTAAAAATCCAAGCGCAATTATTTATAAGAATAAATGTTGAAGCTGGAATTAATTAGCTTTTATCAAAGTTTTAAGCTTCATTTCAAACATCCTTAACGGTGACCATAAAAATACACTGAATTGATTTCGCGAGAACTCGGATAAATTTTATCGCACAACGGTAAATGTAAGGAAACGACCACATTTTCAAAAATACGCGACCTCAAAACCTAACAAAAATTATTTTTTTAAAATACTTGATAGTTAATATTTATTCTATTCTATTCGAAAATCTTATTTAATTTCACTTTAATTTTCTCTAGTACACATATTAAAAAACTGATGTTTTCAAAATATATGTCAAATCGATGAAAAAAATCGATATTTACAATATAAACTCACGTGTATATTATGCGGGTGGAACTCTAGCCGTAGCCGGGGCGCGGGCACGGGGGCTTGCATGACGACACGTACACTCTCTGTCAGCGCAGAGTGACAACTGACCAGCAGTAATAGTCCCGAAATACCGGAAGCGACAGCCCTAGCGGTATAGGGTTGCACCTGTCGTGTTACATTATACGCAGAACTTTGTATCGATTTGTTAAAAGATTTGTTGATTTTCATTCTAGATTATATCTAGACCTAATTAGTCTAACAAAAATGAATAACCTCTTTATACAAATCAGTTAAAAAATTAAGAAATTTAATAAAAATAAGAAGCGTTTTTTCTTAAATGTCGCCAGTCTAAATAATGAAAAAAAAAACAAACCTGCATGACTTCTATTGTACTTACGTGCAACTTATACGTCGTAACTTTACTATGCCTTATCAATTTAATTGAACAATGATAGGTTTAGTAAACAGACAAAACTAGCGATAACGAATAGTGGGACGTCAATATTTATTGACATATTTTTGAACCCTCTCGATCGTGGTATTACTACTAATTCAAATAATAAAGTAAAATCACTAAATTCTAGACATATGTTGCTAATAGTTTAAAAATATCTATGTAATAAATATTAAACAAATGTGGCCCTACTTGATATTCATCTCATTTTAGTTAAAGCCTAAAATTACGAGAAACTCATTATTCTATGTAAGATTTTCTAAAACGCTTAATTCATACGAAATTCCCCGATATTTATAGAGATCTTATGTCGTATAAACTGCTTTCTGCGGGATTCAGCAGATAAAAAATTTAATGAACATTGTCGGTAAAAGTGGTAATCTGTGACGTCACGCTGCATCTCCAAGGAAATGCAAAAAGTGTAACCGGACGAAGAGAATGCATACCAAGATAGCCGGAGTCTGGATACAAAAGTTGTTCTGCGGTCGAACAACATACAGCAACTTTCACTCTTGTATGCACAGGCTTTTTATCGAGCGCAAAAATAACTTTGTGAAGTAGAAAAAGTAATGTAACCATCCAAGGTCTATGTTAGAAAGAAATTTTAATTTCCGATGTTTGTGTTGAGAAGCATTTCACATCATTAACTGCATTAAGTATAACGGTTGTATACGTTTATAAGAAACAACAAACATTCCATGTCTTTTTACTTTTTTTTTATTTTTTAATAACATAAGAGGGCAAACTAGCAAGCGGCCACCTGAATCCGCCAAAATGGTGAAGCGACCGCTGCCCATAGACATCTGTAATTGCAGATGCATTGCCTACCCTTATCCGACGGAGGAGGAGACGTACATAAAGAGGATACATATTTCCTCTTCCTATGCATCTCCTCCATCGTCAAAACCACTTCCCCTTCCAATCCTCTTATAAGAAAAGGGTGATAAAGAGAAAGGGACTTAAATTAGGCCGGCACCACACTCATCAGACGAAACACGGAATTGCTTCCATTTCACGCCTGTCTTCTGTGTGGTCGTGGTAATACGCCGGGCGTGCCGGCCCTGCTGTGCTAAGATGTTGAAGCGGGCACTACCACTGAAATTACTACTTACTTACTATATACAACATAAACTGAGCAATGCTAGAATATCGAGAAATTATTTTTGTCTAAAATACAGATTTAACAAGCGCAGCCCTAGATGCAATTGCTTTGCTTGCAACATTTTCTTAATTTTTTATGTGTGATTTTGAATGTAGCGAAATAGGTCGTCCAAATTCTTATAAATTAATTTAAAACACAAACTTTCCTATCTATAATAAAAAAGATTTTAAATCGTACTATAAATTTGTTTAAATCACAATTTTGTTTATTTTACTTTTGATTTCATAATCGTAAAGTTATCTTTGCCGGGAGCTTCTATTAACATTAACCTATATTTTGATGACATCTGAACTTAATAACGATGTTTAGTATGTAATTTACAAGAGAAGATAGGAGAAAAACTATTAATTTTTGTATGTTTATATCAGTGTCAATAAACTTTAATTTTGTACCAAATTATCTAAATTGATTTTATGACCAGCGACACATACGCGCCCTTTGCGCCGAGGTTGAGTTAGTGTCACATGTCGCTAACAGATGGCGCTTTCTTAAAAAACTTGGTTTTATGTCAAAGGAGTGTAACTTTTGGTATCGATAATTTTTATTACTATTTAACAATTTTATAATCGCTTATTTTTCTAAAAATAGTCGTAGGTATTATAACTATGTTTAGTCCTGTCTTTTGTCTACAGATCTCTTTTTATGCTGTCCATCATTTTATATGCCAGATAAAACAGTGTGAAATGTATGGCGTTTAGTACTTACCAAATTGATTTAAATTATGACGAAATATTCCGTTACATTAGCTACCGATTCGAGGAAATACGCAGATAGCCAAGATTAGATGTAGAGCAATTTGCAAGGGTCAACTCGTGCACCATATCGTATCTATTAGCAACGTAATCACGGTTTAAGTCGACTAGTGATGTTCTGCATAGGAGGTTGCAAGTTTAGATTATCGATAATATTATTTCTGTAACATCCTACATTTTATTTTCATAGTACTTTATGGATACAGTTTACCGCATGCATTTTTTTCTATGGCGTGAATTAGGTGTCCAGGTAAGAGTTTTTTTTATAATAAGCATTGATTTTAAAAATCGTTTCAAAATGAGTAAAATTGTAATGATTATTGTATATCGATAAAGAACAAAGGTTACATCGATTATTTTCCGTTAATAATGTTTAACATCACTAGATATCCCGTCGCGTCTGACGGCGGCGCCGTCATGCTGTGCATTCAATGATCAATGCACTTTATAATTTATGTCAACGTAATAAGGATATAATTTGTTTAACAAGCGTAACATTACTTGGGGACTTCGTAACTCTTATTTCAAGGGAATAAGGTTCATATTACACAGTAATGTTTA